TCTCACTCTGTCGCCCAGACTGGAGTGCAGTGGCTGCTCCCGGCCATCGCAGCCTCGACCTGCTGGGCTCCGGCGATCCTTCCGCCTCAGCCTTCCAAGTAGCCGGAATTACAGGCACGCGCTACCATGCTGATTTTTTTGGTTTATTGTAGAGATGAGGTCTCGCTGCCCAGGCAGGTCTCGAACCCGCGGGCTCAGGCAATCCACTCACCTCAGCCTCCCAAAGGCGTGGGATTACAGGCTGAGCCACTGAGCCTGGCGACTATTCTTACATCTTTAGAGTGTCTTCCAGTTTTTATCCAATTTTTAAAAAATTATGTTGTATGTCATTTTTCTTATTTATTTATAGGAGTTCTTTATGTATTCTGATTGAATATATGTATTGCAGTTTATTTTCCCATCTGTGGCTAAGAAATCTTTTCCTATCAAGTTCTTTTTATTTTTTATTTTTCAATTTTGAGTTGGAGTCTCACTTTGTCATTCAGGCTGGAGTGCGGTGGTATTCTCATGGTCACCACAGCCATGACCTGCTGGGCTCAGTCGATCCTTCTGCCTCAGTCTTCCAAGTAGCTGGAACTACAGGCACGTGCCACCACACCTGGCTAGTTTTTTATTTATTTTAGAGATGAAATCTTGCCAAGTTGTCCAGGCTGGTCTTGAGCTGCTGGGCTCAGGCAGTCCTCTCACCTCCATCTCCCAAAGTGCTGGGATTATAGGTGTGAGTCATCACGGCAGGCCATCTATTAAGATTTGAAAATATGTTTTCTTCTGGAATTATTATAGTTTTAGCTCTTACTTTTTGGTCTGTTAACCTATTCAAGTTAATTTTTGTGTATGATGGAAGTAAGTGTTAATATTCATTTTTTTTTTCTTAGCAGATGGTCAGTTGCTCTAGCACCATTAATTAAAAAGATCCCCTAAATTGCAGTGGTTCCTTTGTTGTAAGTCAAGTGACCATATATGTGTACATCTATTTCTGGACACGTTATGTTTCATGTTTTCTTTGTCACTTATTAAGCAAATACTGCAGTGTCTTTAATACTGTAGTAGTATCATAAGTCCTTAAAATCTGATAGTAAAAGATCTCTAACTCTGGTTGTCTTCAATACTGCTAACATTCTAGGGCTTTTGCATTTCCATATAAATTTTAGGATGACTATATCATTCCTATCCCCAAAAGAGTGGCTTGTATTTTGACTGGGATTGCTGTGAATCTGTAAATCAGTGAGGGAAAAATGGGCATTTAACATTGTTTAATCTTGTAGTTCATGGATATGGGCTATCTCTTCATTTATTTAGGCCTTTTATTTCTTTAAGAAAATTTTTTTTTTTTGAGTAGGAGTCTCACTCTGTCGCCCAGACTGGAGTGCTGTGGCCGCTCCCGGCCACCACAGCCTCGACCTGCTGGGCTCCGGCGATCCTTCCTCCTCAACCTTCCAAGTAGCTGGAACTACAGGCACACGCTACCAGACCTGGCTAATTTTTGATTTGTTGTAGAGATGTGGTCTTGCCAAGTTGCCCAGGCGGGTCTCGAACCCGCGGGTCAGGCAGTCCACTCACCTCAGCCTCCCAAAAGTGTGGGATTACAGGCTGAGCCACCGAGCCCAGCTTCTCTAAGAAATATTTTGTAGTTTTTAGGTCATAAGTTTATACATTTTGCTACATTTATTCACGGTTATTAAATATTTTTGATAGCATTTTAAATGGTATTTATTTAAAACATTTTTATTTCCTGTTTGTTGATATATGGGCACAGCATTAAGTTTTGTGAATTGACATTCTGTCCAGTACCTTGTAAAAATTCGCTTATTCTCGTTCCTTGTAGATTCTTTTGGATTTTCTATGTACATAAATATTGAATCTGCAAATAAAAGTTTTCTTTCTTTCCTGTCATCGTGCCTTTTATATCCTTCTTTTGTTTGTCACATAGGCTAGGACCTCCAGTATAATTTTTTTTTTTTTCTTTTTTTTTTAGTTGGAGTCTCACTCTGTCGCCCAGTCTGGAGTGCAGTGGCACGCTCACAGCCACTGCAGTCTCAACCTGCTGGGCTCAGGCCATCCTTATGCCTCAGCCATCCAAGTAGTTGGAACCACAGGCATGCACCACCACGCCTGGTTAATTTTTTGATTTATTGTAGAGGTGAGATCTCGCCAAGTTGCCCAGGCTGGTCTCAAACCCGTGGGCTCAGGGAATCCTCTCACCTCGGCCTCCCAAATTGCTAGGATTACAGGCTTGAGCCACCATGTCCAGCCTAATTTAAGAGAGTAGTAGACATCCTTGTCTTGTTTTCAATCTTAGGTGGAAACATTCAATGTTTTACTAATGACTGAATTTAGTTATAGTTTTGTGAAGATATCTTGTATCAGATTAAGAATGTTTCCTTCTGTTCCTAATTTTCTGAGTGTTGTTTATTATGAATAGGTGTTAAGTTTTGTCAAATACTTTCTCTGAATTTATTGATATGATTATATGGTTTTTCCTTTTATTTTACTAATGTGATGAGTTGTATTGATTGACTTTTCAAATAGTAAACTAACCTTGCATTCTAGAATAAATCCTACTTGGTCATGATACACTGTATTTTAAAATTTATCTCTAGATTTTATTTAATATTTCATTTAGAGTTTTTTTGTTTGTAATTGTGAGAGATTGTTGGACTATAATTTTCCTTTCCTACCATGTGCTTATCTGGTTTTGTTATCAAGGTTATGTGGCTTCAGTGTAAGTTGGGAAATATTTTTTCTTTTCTATTTTCTGGATGAGGTTGTGTAATATTGATATTATTTCTTCCTTAAATATTTGACAGAATTCACCAGTGAAGCCATCTAGCCCTGGAGTTTTCTTTGCAGGAAGGTTTTTACTTATAGCTTTAATTTATTTAATAGATAATGAGGACTCTTTAGGTTTTCTGTTTCTTTCTATATCAATTTTGATGAATCGTGCTTTTCAGGGAATTTGTCCATTTCAGCTAAAATTTCAAATGTATTGTTATAAAGGGTTCATAATGTCATCTAAATATTTTAAAATTTGTATAGGGTTTGTAATGATGTCTTCTTTTCATTCTTTGCTTTGGTCCTTTGTATTTTCACCCTTTTTTAGTATTTAGTCTTGCTAGGGTTTAATAATTTAAAAGCATTTTTCAAAGAACCAACTTTTGGCTTTGTGTATCTTCTCTTGATGTCTCTTTTCTATTTCACTAGTATCTGTTATTATTTCCTTTCTTCTTTGGGTTTGGGTTGCTATTCTTCTAACCTTTTAAGTTGGAAGCTTACTGGTTTTAGGTTTTCTTTTTCTTCTTCTTCTTCTTCTTTTTTTTTAAAGCAGGATTTATTGAGAGGCCAGAGAAGCTCCCACAGTGGAGGGGACCTGCAGGGTTGCCTGGTTTTAAGTTTTCAATAATTTTTCTTGTAGGGACTGTTTTGACAACGCTCCATGCTATCCTTTAACTCAGCATATTTCTAGTTTCTGTTGTGTGTTATTTAGAATTATGGAACTTACTTTCTTAATATTTGGAGATTGTCTAATTGTCTTTTTATTATTGAGTTTTATGTGAATTCCATACCTGTGGAATCTGTGGGTTTATTTATTTATTTCAGAGTTGGAAATTCTCGGCCATGATTTTTCTAATATTGCTTATTCTTTATTTTTCTTTCTACTGTGCTTGGGATTCCATTATGTCCTATATTTCATACTTTTTTTGGTCTTTTAAATTTTTTTTTCTCTCTGTGCTTCAGTTTGGATGCCTTTTATTGGCTTTCTTTTATATTTACTAATATTGTTTTGTTTGCTTTTATACTCAAATAATTTAGATAAGGCATTTTGCATTGTCAAATGTTCATTTGGTTTTTTTCTTATACATCTTACTTGTCTCTCACAATACACCATTTATCCTTTTGTTTACATTTTTTTTTTTCCTTTAGCATGTTTATCATAGTTTGAAGTCCTTATCTGCTAATGCTGCTGTTTGGACCACTGCTGTGTTTACATCTATTGACTGTTTTGTCTCATGATTAGTGGCTACTTTTTCTTGTGTCTTTGTATGTTCAGTAATGTTTGCTGAACATTGTGGATGAAATGTAGTAGAGGCTGTGAATTATCTTCCTTTAAAAGATGTTGAACTTCATTTTTACAAGCAGTTAAATTAATAGCTCTTCAACTTGTTCTGTGAAGTCCTGCTTTAGTGTTTTATTAGGTTGAATCTCTTTCATTTTTGTTTATATTTCCACATTGTGGTCCTTTTTTCTAAGGGGTGGTCTTTGTAGGATCTCACCTGAATGTCCATGGTCTTCACGAAGGCTTCTCAGCTTTGGCTGGGCTCAAACGTCAACAACTAATTTTCTAGCACTGACCTTTGGAATCTCAATTTACTAGTATCTGCCTCATGCTGGGTCTTCTGTGTTCTTGTCTATTTTTTTTGTAGCCCTGAAGGTAAGCATGAATGAATGAAAATTTCTTAGCAGATTTCTGAGGCTTTCTTTATAGAGTTACCATTGTCAAGCACTTTTACCCCTAATCCACCCACCTTTACCTAGAACACTGATCTGTATTTTCTTTATCCAGTGAGATCATTGTTTCCTGTTTGGACTTTAGTTTAATACCCACTTCCCAAAAAGTGCTTAGGGCAAAATCTTGGGGAAATGTTCAAGTGTTTCTTTTCTCTTATGCATTGAGCCATGTGTTGATTTCAGTTCACTGCCCATAATTTTAAAATATGTTTTTTCCAGATTTTAAAGCTATTTATTATTGGAGAGTAAGTCTTATATCTATTCTCTGTGGCCAGAACTTGATGTCCTTCCATTTTCTTTCACAAACTAACTGACTTAAAGTCAGATGTATTGCTTTATATTTTATTCTACAAGAAACAATTTAGTTTGGTTGTCATTATGGTATACATTCTTTATTTAAGAGAAACAAGTCTTAATTGGGAAAACAATTTATGTCAGTTAATTTATTACATATAACACATTTTAATTACTTGTCATGTTTTTTGTACTTCAAGGAATCATCTGTTGCAGTTTGCTTTAGAGTCACCACCCATATCTCCTGCTTCTTCCTCTTCAAAGAACCTTACTGTCAAAGTACACACTCCTATATCTTTTAAGCAGGGAAGCAGGTTAATGGATAATTTCTTGATCAAAGAAATGGGTGGTTCTACATCAGAGTTGTTAATAAAAGAACATGAAAGCAAATTCAGCCCTCAAAAAGAGGTAAGCACTGCTACAGAGACCAAAGAGACACATTCTGTAGAAAGGATGGCTCCAGGCTCCTCTGATGCCAGTGGTTCTGAGACACCATCTACATCCACTTTGAAACAAGTTGTCAAAGGTAGGAAATTACTTTCATATGTGTACTTTCTTACTTAATGGAAATCTTCTCATCCCTATTATATAAGAATAAGTAGGCAACATTTTTGAGGGGAAAGAATGGGAAGGGAAAACCAGATTTCATCTCATCACAATCTCAAAGATTAATGTAGTCAGTGCTTTCTGATATGTTTTTTCTCTTTCTATCATAGAATAGGAATTCAGGCTGATTGCTGCAAAGATGAAACTATTTTAGTTCTTACTTAAAGAATGGCAATAACTTTGTTTTTTGGTTTTTAACCCTTTTCCCTCCCATTCAGTGTATCAGTTCTTGTTTAATCTTGAGCTCTTATATCTTATTTTGCCACTGATTGAATGCCTCCATGCTGTTCTACCTGACCTCCTTAGCCACTGTGTGTTATCCATGAGAGTCTCTAGGCTCTGAGATACCTCCACAGATCCCCGAAACTCCATGAAACAGTTTGAGGATGATTGCATTTCCCAATTTTAGCATTACATATGGAATTAAAAATGACAGCTAAATTAACACATTTGTAACCATTGATAGAACTGAACAATAGTTAGCCCAACCCAATAAATGCTTTAATCTAGCTGCACATATTTCCTCCCCTGGCCCCAGGCCAGAAGTTCCTTACCCAAATTGTTACTGTTGCTTCTATGCTAAACATAGAAAGCATCTCCGGTTGGGGAAAAATTTTTTTTTTTTTTTGAGTTGGAGTCTCACTCTGTTGCCCAGACTGGAGTGCAGTG